TTACCAGTGGTACCTGACTGTGACTGGCTCACTGCCTCTCCAATCTTTGGAACATCATTGGATAGGTACCCAAAGATGAAGTGGTGCACCTGCACTATTACAAGGCCAAAGAAGCCCTGATAAATGCAGCAAGGAAACTGTCCTCAATTCTGGAGCCTTTTGTAGCCTGTTTTACCAGTGGTACCTGACTGTGACTGGCTCACTTCCTCTCCAATCTTTGGAACATCATTGGATAGGTACCCAAAGATGAAGTGGTGCACCTGCACTATTACAAGGCCAAAGAAGCCCTGATAAATGCAGCAAGGAAACTGTCCTCAATTCTGGAGCCTTTTGTAGCCTGTTTTACCAGTGGTACCTGACTGTGACTGGCTCACTTCCTCTCCAATCTTTGGAACATCATTGGATAGGTATCATTAAATTGTTAACAGATCTCACTCCCCCACGCTGATTCCTCTCCTGCAACTGTCAACACAAAATCCTACTTACCTTTTGTGTTACTATACCCCACTCCCTCTAGCCTGTAAGCTCATTGAGCAGGGTCCTCAACCCCTCTGTTCCTGTGCACCCAACTTGTCTGGTTACAATTACGTGTCTGTTAGTCCACCCATTGTACAGTGCTGCAGAATTTGTTTGCACTTTATAAATAATAATAATATATGGATATGAATTTGCCCAAGACACCAATTCCCCCGTAAGAACATCACCTACTAGTGGGGATACCCCATGAAGTTACTGCTCTGACGCAACAGGCCGCTAAAATGATCAACACACCTCAGGACAGCCTACAGGTGATGCATTCTTGGAATCTTACCCCAACAAATCACAGATGAACCCTCAGACCTCTCTGCATTTGAAGATAGCTCCACAGTGGAGGAAAGTTGGAACATCAACCTGAAAGAAGAAGACCTGGAGCCGTTTTTGCAACATTTTTGGTGGGACTCAGGACCAGTGAATACTTATTAGGTGTATTGCCTCTCGCCCTCACCTGCTCTTTTGTTAACCACCCTGATAGACATGTCGCAGTAGCTGTGGTGATGCCTGGTTGGCTTACAGCAAGCTTTTCAATTTCCTAAGTTTTTGTTTTACCCCCTACATCTACAGGACAATGTAGGACTATGAATTGGCCCAGAATTCAAGCACCTCTCCCTAAATACATATTTTTGTGTGTTTACCTCTTATAACATTGCCATAGTCACAGTTTCTCTTAAATTGTTAGCAATCCTTACATTCCTAAGTGCACAGTGTCCACAAATACAATTCACATCTGTCTGAGGTATTTCAAGACATCTTGGATAATCTGCTTGGAACCAAATATCATCTATTTAAAAACTTGTAATGAAGTTCAGTTAGGTTAAGACAATATATATATGTATAATATTGTCCAATGCTTGCACTCCAGTACAGAAATATGTATAGCCCGGTGCTTGTCGGCATAAATAATAGATAGGAAAATATGAAAAGCACTCCAGGGACTTCACTTTCATCCCGACATGGGAATGAAACGTTGATCACTTTTGGCAGTTGCTGAATAAAGCTAAGTTTATTTTTTTTCACCTTGTATGAAGTCCCTGAAGTGCTTTTCATATTTTCCTATCTATATATATGTATATATATATTTTATTATTTATTTTATTGTGCATGATATAACAGTCAAGTTTGCTACGCCGCCAAAGCTGTAGGAAACTTTTCAATAACAAAATATAACATGGCAATGTGCACAATTTAACGTGAGTGTCAGGCAGTTCAGACATGTCCAGATATGAGACAGGTAAGTTAATCATAGTGAGGCTTGGTTATGGTAAATACGGAAAAAGAAAAGTGATAGAAACAGGCTGGATAAGTACATCTATTTCTGAGTAATAGCTTGTTCTGTGTTCATGCCAATGCTTATGGCAGGGTTAAAGAGTTATTACAATGTTATTAGCGTAAAGTAAACAGTGAGTACTTCTGGACCTGCTAGCCTTTTGGAATTGCCTTGAGTAAGGGTTGAACTTCGGTTATAAATTCGCCATCTGTCAAGGTATTGGGTTTTTGTGATATAATATTAACCCATAAGGAGAAACTTTTCAAACCCCTACTGTATGCTATGTGACAAGCTGTCTGTGGCTTTTAGTTTTCTTGGAATCTGTAGGGACAAGGTTTTGGCCCGTCTTTCGTTCTGGGGAGGCTGGTTGTCATGGGTTGTCTGGTTCCCCAAGTGGAGTTCGGTTGTGTGTATGGGTATGTCCGTTTCTGGCTTGGGGTGTCTGGTCTGCCCCAGTGGTTTTTGGGCCTGATGGGCTTCTGAGTGGGTCTCTCGTTTGGGGGAAAAGGACAATGTATATTTTTATAAACCATAACCAAGGATCCTTTACATTCATCATAACTTATTGTAATATTTAGATCGACTCCCCATTTGTTGATAATAGTATGGATATAGTTTTCTGGATCGCCAGCAATCAATTCCAAACATCCTGCAACCAAATTTTTAAAAACATTTTTAATCTTTAATAATTTTTATAACTTTTCATGTTTGCAAGATCTTTCTCTGAATAGGTGATGTGCGAGGTACACTTTTATTCTTACATATGTAAGAAATTCTCTACTGTCTAATTTATATTCAGTACACAGGGAAGTAAAATCCCTCATTTTATTTTCTTTAAGAAGTCGTTAATTCTTAAAATACCAGAGTTATCCATCTCTGTATGTTTAGATCACCAATGTTGACTTATAGGAAGGCCTGCAATGATTCTATCTTGAAGTAATACAGTATATCTTTTCATTTTCTTTTCCCATAAAGTCAAGACAACTCAATTCTTGTTGTACATCTATTTTTGTTATAGGTTAACCAAAATAGAGTACTCGGTTCAATATGTTGATCATTTTTTGTTAAGGATTGTTCAAATTTATACCATATTTCACTTTTGACACTATCAGATTGAGTGATAATTGCATGCGCAACACTGTAGGCTTGCCGAAACTCTTTTAGCTGGGGAATGCCTAGGCTAACTTGATTTTAGACTGATACAAGGGTGCTTTCCTAGCCATATAAATTTGTTAAATATCGCTTGGGCCAGAGTCACCCAGCTATCTGGGCATGGTAGAGTACCATGTGAAAGAGGGAAACCCACCATGATACATCCCTGTTTTTCCACTCATTAAGTTTTTTACTTTTATACTTAAGTAGTATACTTAAGTATGCAAGTAGTGATAAAAAATAATTTTCCATCATTCTGGACGGATCATTGGTAATTTCAATTCCCAAACAGCTGAATGAGTTTCCAGCACAGTCAAAACCAAATAAATCAATCATTTTTTTTTTTTAAATCATTCTTTGAGGTACGTTAAATGGAAGTTTAAGACTTATTTAGATTTAACTTTTATCCTGAATATATATAGAGGTTCAACTGTCATCAAATATAGTAGCAGAGAAAGCGGACAGACCTGCCTGGTAACATTCTTTAGATGGAACTAGCCTAAGGAGAAGCTGTTCCCCACCACTCTAGCCATCGGGTAGGTATATAATGACATTTTAGATCTGCTAATATTACCACCTAGGGAAAACACTTCTAGCACTCTCTCCAGAAAATTTGACCAGGGGCTAACCTTCGTTAGAAGCACATCTGCAATGTCTGTAAGCCTTCTAATGTTATATACCAGGGATCTGCTTGTGACAAACCCTTCTTGATCTTGGTGGATAATTTTAGGTATAATTTTACTTTTTCTAGATGCAATAACTGATGAATACAATTTGATATCAACATTTAACAATTAAATTAACCTATAGTTTGCAATCGATTCTGGATTCTTATTTGGCTTTGAAATTGGCACTATGTGGGCTTTCAGCATCTCTCCTGTTTTCATGAAGTAATTGAGAACATCAGTAAAAGCTCCTGCTGTTGTTTTCCAGTAGCTGATAGAAAGATTTATTAAAACCATCTGGCCCTTGTGATTTATGTATTTTCAGTTTTTTAACAATCGTATTGACTTCATTTATATAAATAGGTTAGTTTAATTTAATCAATTGAGCCTCAGAAATCCTAGGAAACTTACATTTAGAAAAAAAAGTCTCATTCTAACTGGAGAATGTAGCCCATGGATCAGCGCAGCTAAGAGGAATAGGCCTTGACAGAGCCAGGAGGTAGGCATAGCAGCCACATGAAGTTAGTGACAGCTAGCATGCTGGGTAGGGCGGAGCCATAAGGGGAGTATTTATACCAGCCAATATATGAAGTAGCCATTTTAACTGAACCTAAGCTTACCTGTCAGTTGTGAAAGCTGCCTGCCCTGGAGGGAGAAGGCAGCAGCATGGAGGCAGCATAGAAGAACAGAGCAGTACTGAGACAGGAGGCAGCATGGAGGCAGCATAGAAGAACAGAGCAGTACTGAGACAGGAGGCAGCATGGAGGTACAGGAGAGGCTGGAGTGAGCTGCTGCATGCTCACTCCCATCAGCCTCAGACAGAACTCCAAGTACGCCACCATCCTGGACACAAAGGTTGTGGCAGAATCGTGGCTGCAGGAGCAACTGGGGGGCCCTGAGCACATCTGCTCCCCCTCCCCCCACGTGACAATGGAACGGAGGCCAGCAAGGAGAGCGAAGCAGCCCCAGCGGCAGTCCGGGATTGACATCGGCAGTTCGGCGGCCCAAGAGCCTGTCAGGAGGCGGCAAGGGGACAGCTGAAAACGAGGTCGGAAAGCAGGCGGGAGTTGGAGGGCGGCTGGCGCCGTATGTTCGACGCTGCGCCGGTCAGGCAAGGTGGCAGGCCAGGATGAGGCCACACAGGAAGAACGGGCGGGAAAGCACAAAGGACAGCGGAATCCAGCATGACATGATGGCCGCCAGGCAGGGAGAGCGGCAAGAGGCGTCCTGGTGAGTCTGCCCCTGGTGGCATACCTGAGGGAAGGGGGGAATGATGCAAGGGGACAGCAGTGTAAAAGCGGTCCCCCGCCCCCAATGGGCAGGCCGGGGGGGTCCAGGTCGGCAGGACACAGGCGGATGCGGCCCTGGATGGGGCCAGGGTCAGGTCAGAGGTGAAGGAAGGGGATAGTGAAAGCAGCAGGCGGAGTCTTCACAGGCACAGCAGAGCAGCTATGAAGGGGAAGGCCAGCAACCAGGATTAATTAAAGGGGCCACAAGTGGATGAGGCGGCCGGGGAGAGGCCAGGTACTGCAAGCAGAGGACAGAAGAGAGGACATGGACGGGTGGAAATGGACGTAAGGCACAGAGGCAAGCGGGAGCCCCCTGGGGGGGCGTTCTAATGAGCAGGAACACAGGAGGAGCGTCAGCAGGTGTGAGTACGGGAGGGAGCAGCGCAGCGACAATGACAGGCACAGCAGCAGTAGGAGGTCGGATGAGAGATGGAGGAGCAGCTGAGGTGCCTGTCAAGGTGTCGGTGTGGTAGGAAGAGGTCCAGTTCCTGGGAGAGGAGGAGGTGCAGCGCTTCAGCTTCATCTGGCAGGATTTCACTAGGGCAGAGGTGTGACGCCTGCGGCCAGGAAAGTCAGGCAGCAAGAAGGAGCAGAGATTAGGACGACAGAACAGAGTGAAGGGACGAAGGGCTGGTCAGAACAGACTACCCAGGTTATCTTCTCCCAGCAGGTCGAGGAGTGTTACTCTTACGGGCTTGAGGCGGGACCAGTGCGGACAGGAGTCGGCATCCACCGGATACTCCAGAGCCTGGCAAGGTGGACGGAAGGACAGCGCAGACGGGGGTTCGGGCGGTGAGTCAATAAACACACCACACTTTTTAAATAGCAAAAATCATTTTAGAGTCATGATCAAGGAAAAAAGGGGCCGTACCCGCGGTGTGGAAGGGTGGGGTCACCGGAGGGCGGTCGGGAGGCAGAAGTAAGGGTGGTGGTGACAGCGTGCCGGGAAAGGGAAGGGGAAAATGGTGTACTGGTACCGGGGACATCTGACGGGGCAGGAGAACAGTTAGATGTGTGGCAATATTCCAGGTGCGGCGCAACGAAATGGGCACGTGTCCTTCGCGGGGACATTGGGGGGGCACTTGAAGGCGGAGGATAAGATTTGATTAAGGGGATTGTAAAAAAAAAAAAAATTCCCGTCTTCCGCTCGAGGAGTTCATTGATTTAAAAGGGGATGATAGGAAGGAGACCGGAAAAGAAGAGGAGGGAAAAGGCGGAAGTATCGCAAGATACTGAAGACTTTGGGAGTTGGCTTAGGGCTTTTGTATCCTAGTAGGCGTTATCGGGGTAAGGTGCGTGGTTCCTAATGATGGTGCAGGAAATGCGCTCTTTCCGGGGGCTGCCGGCGCGCCCCCAGGATGTGCGGTGCTGGCCGGACAGAAGAAAGGTCAGTGCAACTGGGGACCTTCGGGTAGGCTTGGATACGGGTGTTTCGGAGGCGGTGGGAGTCACGGTGTCAACTGACCCATCAAGAAAGGAAAACCTAAGGTAAGAAGGGTACTCGCCGGGGCTTCAGCCCCGCGGTTGCAGCTCGGAGCGGCACCGGTGACGATCGGTGCGTTGCTGCCGTGGCTAAGGCAGTAAGCCTCCCATGAAGGTGCTAGTTTTATGGCTGGGATTGTTGAGGTGGTTTACGCTATTCCATTCAGGGACCAGAAAAAGCAGTGGGCGAATATCCAGTCCGTCGGGGAACATCTTGGATTGGTTCGCGAGTGGTCACGCGAGGATCCGACATTAGCGGATCTGTGGGTGTCTCTGTGGAGGGTGGTCCCCTAGAAAGGGGCGGGCAAATTCCGTCTCATACAAAACTTATCGCACCCGAAAGGGGCATTGGTAAATGAGGACATCGACTCTGACCTGTTCTGTATCTTTGGCATCATTTGGCCTTGCCATCGAGTTGGTTCGGGGGAGCAGGACGCGTTCGATTATTGGCGACCCTTCCATCTTTTGGGTTGCATGTTTGCAGGTTCCTATTGGTAACCTCTGCTTGCCAAAGGGCAGTTCCATTTCATGTTCCTACTTCGGGAAGTTGGATCCGTCTGGGAGTGGGAGGTGAAAGAGGAATCAGGAAGTGGTTCCTTAGTACATTATCTGTAAGATAGCTTGCTGTGTGGTCTCGGCTGGGCCAGGCCGTTGTGGACATACCTTACGGTCGCGGGAATCCTACCGCACGTCTTTGCTTGGGCTGGAAATTTTTTCGGTGGTAGGAGAGTATCTATTGCCTGGAGATCAGTTGACTGCACTTTGGGAGTTCAGGGTGAAGGTTCGCAGGTCCAAGAAGGTCACGCTGAGAAAGCGCAGTTGTTCATAAGGCTCTTATTCAAAGTTGGCATCTTTTGAGTTATTTCCATTGGGAGTGGCTGTGGCTCTAAAAGGTGAAGGATTAAGGGACGAAAAGTCGTAATTCATGGACAATACGGCGGGGTTCATGCGGTTTACCATCCAGCCGGGTCCTCGATTCAGGAGGTACGCCCATGGCGGCAATTCGTATCATTGTGCAGGTATCGGGTGCAGGCACGCCACGTGCCTGGTTGGCGGAAGGTAGGGGCTGGTTACTTGCCGCGCGCACAATCTGCTGGAGATTGGCCGGGATGTGTCAGCTGACCGGAGCTCGCCCTGAACGGTTCGTGGCGAACAGTGGCGAGCCGTTCGCGGGAAGTTCGCGAACGGTTCGCGACATCTCTATATGGGGGATGTTAACGTTATTAAGATTTGTTGGCAATGACCCCATTTGTTATTCCTTAATTATTTTATTAATAATTTAATAAAGCTGTGGACTAATTATTTCCAACAGTATAACCTGTGTCCGTGTTTTAATGGGAGTTTGGGTAAGGTTAGCGCATATGCCGGCAAATCCGACTGTGCGCCTGTCATGTCTTTCTCGTAGATTATATAGTTCTTTGGAAAGCTAGACCTATTTTGTCTGGCGCAAGAATTGTTTCCTTTCCTAGAACAATCTTTGAAATAATTTTCTTTGCCTTTTCCCTTTTTAACTTGTAAGAGAAAAATGTATCTGCTTTGTTTCCGTTGTAGTACCAGTTTTTTTTTTAAGCAATTTAAAGTGAAATGAGCTTTGTGGACTAAAATATCATTTTTATCCTATGTCTACCTTTTGTTTTTCAGTTATTTCTTTCGTACGATTGATTTGTTTTTGTTTTTTTAAATACAGTCATTTTTATTTAAATTATTTCTGTCAAGCGTAGGGTCCAATATACAATGAAAATCTCTCAGACATATGATTCTTTCTTCCTTGAATCCCTTTAGTTTGCAAGTAATTGTCTGTATAACTTTTATTGGTGAGTGGTTTGGGGCATAGATATTTCCAATGGTGTATTTTTATTATTTCACAAATTAATATGTGGAACCTTCCCTCATTGTCTATTTCTTGATGTATCAACTTAAAAGCTATTTTTGAAGAAATAATAGGTGCGCCCCCCTCTTTTTCTGACATAGAAGATTTAAATATATATGGAAAGTCTTTAGAACTAAACCGGTCCTTATCGGCTATCAGCCGGTGGGTTTATTGAACACCACAGATATTTTCTATTTTCAAAAAGCTCTAAAACAATAATTATTTTCTTAATTATTGGAGAAAATGTGCATATTTTACAATTGATAATCTATTAATGCTAAGGGTCTCAACAGTGGATCCAAGGGGGTTGGGGGAGGGCAATGGCCCCCCAGTTCTTAAACAATTTAACTACTTACTCTGGGAGGTTGCCACGGCACTCTTGGCACCATAACCACTACAGAGAACTGTAATGGTTATTGTGCCTGGATTGTTCCTTTAAATAATCTACCAATGCCTCTCCTGAGATTAGGTTCTTGATCTGCCCCTGCAATGGCCCTCACAAGAGACACACACTCCTTAAAGCAGCCATTAGCTATAAAGCAGCAATCTTATGCATGCAAGAGACCCTTTTACAAACTTGCCACTTCATGCATCATCTTTAACAACTACCCAGTCAGCTACCACGCATACTGACAAAGCAAAACTCTATGTTATTTTATAAGAACTGGCCCTTTCAATTAAATCACAAATACAAAGACTCAGAGGACCTCATGTTATTGCTGGAAGGTCTGCTTAGCAATGAACCCCTAAAGATTGTTTCACTGTATGTGCTGAATTCTCACCAAATCTGCTTTCTTGCATGTTGCTTCTCCAAAATTGCTCAGTTGGCAATAATCCGACTTACACCCCCCACCCCAGCCTCCCTCTTACCCTTTTTTTCTTTTTTTTAAATAATTCCTTGATAAGTGAAGAAAATTGAAATGTACTCATACTTTCTGATATTTTCCTTTCCCGATAATGGGCCATTGCAGCACTATGGTCCCACCCTAAGTTGTTTGGCTTTTTATGAACTGGGGCCTAAAGGAGAGGTATTTATAAAAAAAATATTCTTACTGTCCAGTGGGAGTGGTGGGCGGAGGTAACCCAGGAGTAGTGCTGCAATGGCCCATTACCGTGAAAGGAATTTATCAGTAAGTATGAGTAAATTTTCCATTGTTTAGTGCAGAAATGACCTTCCTGAAACAGATATTAAAATAATTAGGTCTATAATAAGTGTTTTGTAGAGTACAGATTATGTATGTCAAGGCTGGGTTTCACAAAAATACCTTTTGATATCTTTTTCTAATTTGTGTACTTAGTAGAGAGCATATCTCACCTGCTGTGTTTATACCTGCAAAGGCATCAGTTAAAGTAGAATTACACAGCTTTCTCCTCTGCCTTTGCTTTTTTCTGTTCCTCTCCCAGGCAGGTATAAACACCTCTCTCCAATATAACCAGCTGCTGCCTTTACAAATGCACTTGTGGCTCTCAAGCCTATGTATTTTTTAACATGTCCCAGGAATCAGTGACCAATGCATCCAACCTACAGGTCTGAAGACTCTGTTACTGGAATCCCTGAAAAAAACAACCAAGACTCATAGTTTCCAACGGAACTAACGCACACAGCTCGGGACTAACCCATATGGGCATTGCATCAAACTAATGGTGACAAATTATATCTAAAACAAATAACCAAATTATATCGTAAAACATACAGGAACGCATAACAGAATTACATATTTAAAAGGGTGTTGAAAACAATATCTAACACAAAATATCTCCCTTGCTGCAGAAATTATTATATGCAAATCTACCTGAATATGCAAATTGACATGCTTTGTTATTCAGGTATTTTATATAGCAATGTCAAGATGATCACAACAAACAGATGGCACTGTACAGGCTCCACAGTCAAAGCCACCTAGTTGTTTGAGAGCATCAGCAGGACAGGAGAGTACACAAAACATTTACCAATAAAAAAAAATCATTATACACACCCTGCACCTATATTGGGCACAGGGTGACTTAGACATAGGCGTCACTCTGGACCTTTTTAAAGTGTCCATCTTATTTTCCCAGTGATGGTGAGTACTGTAACACTAATATTATAACTGGGGGGTGGACCTATTGTCACCCCCACCAATCCCCGTTTTGGGTATGTAATACAATTACTAGGTAAAAGAATCTGTTGTCCCTCCCCAGACACCACTCATTGGCAGTGGATGATGGTTCTAATACAATAGCCAAGGAGAGGGATGTTCCCTCCCCCTGCCCACCCCTATGCCGTACCCATTTGTTGCGGTTGGGGACTTTAAATATAATAATATGGGGGGAACCTATTGTACCTCTCAGTTTCCACCCATGGGCGGAGGGTAGGGGCTAATAATCAATTTATGTCCAAACCACTCTTCCCCATGTCATAAAACAGACTAGCAACTGGGCAATTTAAATAAATTAATAAATACAAAATAAGAGAGCAGGAAGGGACATAATGTGCTACACAGAGATCATCAAGGTGGGGGACTAAAGATAATTTGTTTTAAAAAAAAGCTTATTTTTATTTATATATATATATTAACGAAATGTGTAGGAAGTAGAACGTTATAAATACAGTAGTATTTGTGAGAAAAAAAGACAATTCCATGCTAAATTAAATATCAATAATATTGCACTGAAAGTGGAATGAGCCTTTCTAGTGGGATCAATTGTGGGATCAATTTGTCTGTGGGATCAATTTGTATGACCATCAAGGCTGCCAGACCCCCTACACACAAACACAATGTCCACAATGTCAGACACACACATATACAATGTTAGACAGACAGATAGTCACACACTTAGACCCACCTAGATTCCTACTACCAGAAACACATGCAGCCAGACATACACGCACACTGTCATACAGACACTCAGCCACATACACAGATTACCAACCTCTCCTGTCCCCACCAAAATAAGTAGCATTAAAATATTCTCTGCCTCTACCCTCTACTCCCTTTTCTTAGGCAATCCTACCTCAAATACCCTGTCAGAATGCAAGTAATCTGGTGTGTGGCAGTGTAGTGTCGGAGCCAGATGGCAGTGATATGACAAAATGTCCCCTTCACACACTGCCCTGCATCTGAGCCATCAGCTGCTAGTGTTACAGCAGCTCCGTAGTAATGCTGGGAAAAGATTCTATCTCTGATATCACATCCCCCAGTGCTGCGTTCAGCGAGGGAGCTGTGCAGGATACCATCTTATAAAAGACTCTAATACTGCCGGTCAATGTGGTCTGGTTAAGGAAGATATATCTAAGCACTACAGGGCCTCTGAGCTGGAGTGGCCCCCTACCAGGGCGCTACCTGCAACCCCCTAATGGTGGCCCTAATGACTAGACTTATACAGCTTATTAACATAATTTAATAATAATAATTTAACTTTTTCTACAACATCGAAAATGTTATCTATCTTTACAGAAAATCTAATAGTCCATATTTGTGTTGTATGCTTGAGGTGTTCCCCTACCACAAAATCTTATTTGTTGATGCACAACCATCAAGAGAACTGAACACAATATGTAAACTTGTTATTTAGTTCAGGAATGACCTTCCTGCTACATATATTAAAATAATTTGGCCTATAATACATGTTTTGTAGAGCACAGATCATTTATGTCAAGACTGGGTTTCACGATAAGACCTTTTGGTATTTTTGTTATATTTTGTGTACTTAAGATAGTATATCTCACCTGCTGTGTTAATACCTGCAAAAGCATCAGGTAAAGTAATATTATACAGTATTCTTGTTCAAGATTAAAGTAGCTCTGTCACCAAAAATAAATGTAATCTAATCTGCTTCTTTATAGCTGCATTCTCAGGGAGGAGCAGGAACTACCACGAACGGCTGGCAGGAGAAGGGCAAGGACTCTGCAGCAGGCAGTGGAGGTGCTGGGAGTGCTGGCGGTAGTGATGGAGAGGTGGTTCCAGCTGGTGACGCGCTGGATGAGTCATCCCCCATTCTGAAGGGTCACAAGTCACGGGATAGCAGGCAGGTGGTGGGAAGGTGGGCGCCATGCACCCAGGAAACGGCGGGGTCCCCTATGGCCAGTGGGCATCAACAGGCTTCTCCCAGCAGGTCAGTGGAGCGGAATTTGTCCATGGGGTCGCCTCGCAGGTCAGCGTCCAGATCACCTAACATGGGTAGAGGCGGCCCAAGGAGAGAGCCCAGGGAGGTGGACCTGAGTTGGGCAATGAGAAGGCAGGCTTCCACACCCCATAGATCCCACTCACAGGTGGGCACGGAGCGCCGACCTCAGGAATATCACGTCTGGCCCCCCAGGGGTGCTGGGCAGCAAGGGGCACACTATAGATCCCAGAGTGGCCATAGTAATCAAGCGGGGGGTCCCACAGGGTGGCTAGCCAGGAGCGTAATTTGGGGTCCACACAGCAGAGCGGGCTCATCTCGTGACTACGAGGAACAGCTGGTGGGGAGCGGGAGCGGCCACAGGCGACTTGGAGGCCAGGCGTAGAGGGATTGAGTCTTTTCCCATGTCCCAGTGAGAGAGTATGGCAGCCAGGACTCAGTCGGATGGCCTACCCAAAGTCTTTTCTTGTTTAAGGTCACCACGATGGTTGCCCATGGTCTGGGTGAAACCTTGGGATGTGGATCTACGGCTGGAGGCGCCGTCAGGCTGGACACAGCCTCACAACCTTCAGCATCAAGAGGTTCCGGTGGTGAGTTGTCTGCTAGTAAACCTTCTGGGGACCTTTTAGAGGGTTTCAAGTCGTTTCTGGACTCGTGGATTGGGGATTTGGGGGCATCTTTGGGCACTTAGACAGAAGTGTATGGGGCGGTGGCAGTGGCGGTTAAGAACACGTTAAAAAATAATAATAATAAAAAATAGAGAGAAGCTCATCCTACGCCATCGCTAAACATGATCTATGTGGTTAGTCGGCTCACACTCATGATGTCATGTACCTTTACCCTCAGGGTTCTCAATATGGCACTCTAGATGTGGGAACATTATGCCTTCTGTAGCAACCACCACACAAAGCGTAGCCTCGTTTCCTCACAAATATCGGAGTAAGTGGGCAGGTTAGGAGAGCAAAGAGGAGATTATCTATGAGAGTGACCAACTTAAAAAATGGTATGGCAATGTTTTCATTCAGTTAAGCGACCATCGCCTGTTCTTTCTAATGTAAGCATGTCAGTATTGAATCTAACAATTATAAAACTGTGCAGATCCTCCACTTGCCATGTGTAAAAATGTAAGATGATGTTATAATTGTGACTACAGATGTGGCAATACCGGCTTGTTGTTGAAACTTGCACATCAAAAATAAAGAATACAAAATAAAAATAAATAAATGGTATGGCAGGTTTCCCCAATCTATGTTAATACGTAAAGCTAGTCCCAGAGCACCTCCACACGAAGGAAGGAAGTCATGGGCATTGCAAAGATAGGTCATGACACACTTAGCTAAACTTATCATTCATATACGAGGTTGTATGTAGTGTTAATCTTGTCTTCAGGCTAACTTTGTGCTTGGGCCCTGCGAGTCCCAACATGACATTGCTCTTCATGTGTACTCCTAATGTGAAAATAAAAATCAATAAAAACAGATTTACAAAAAAAAAAAAATGGAAAGTGGAATTTCTAGAGATCTTTTCTCTTCCTCTGAACGGATACTTGGACATGAAGGAAGAGGATAAGAAAGATGCCAAGAAGGAGGAAGAAGAGAAAAGGCAATGTTATGAGAAAATACCCAAAACTTTTGGGAATTGGTTGAGTGCTTTTTGCATGCTGGTGAGTGTTCTGGGGGAGAAATCCCCTGAATGATGCTCGCAACTGTTCTGCAACTTGGATGGGATTTGGGAGGTGTACCGCACTTACGGTGGCTTGGCGTGGTGGCAGTATGACAAACATTTTTGGTAGAGGCTTTTGGCTAATCCGGGCATGCGGTGGGAGCAGACAGACACTATGGATTAAGCTTATAATGGCACTTTCAGACTGTGGCTGCGCAGGATCTTCCTCCACCTCGTCGGCCATCCACAAAAAGGGTTTTGCTGGACGTGTAACAAAGGGCAGTGTAAGTGCGGCCCGGCATGCCGATTCAAATACGAGTGCTCCTGATGTGGAGGCATGCATGGTTACAACCGTTGCTTCAAGAAGAGTAAGACCTCATCCACAGGAGTAACAACAGGTGGTTTGGGGGCACCTGTTGCTGCTGGGACGGTTGCCAATGAGGGTCGGCTCAATGTAACTGTGGCTAAACAGCTGTATAACCAGGAAGATGCCTTGTTGTTAAGGGAAGGGTTCACAAATGGGTTTGTTATTCCATTTTGGCATCGGGTGGGGGTTCGTAACTTGTGGAATCTGAGATCCGCATGGGGACTTTCCGAAGGTGGTGCGGGAGAAGCTGTTTAAGGAGGTGCAGTTAGGGAGGATGGCAGGGCCGTTCATGGAGCCCCCGTTGAGTGATTTGTGAGTCTCACCATTGGGGGTCATCCTGAAAAAGGAGCCCAGTAAGTACAGGCTTATTAATCCAATTTATCGTATCAAAAGGGAGCCTTGGTGAATGATGATATTGACAAGGCCCTCTCCTCGTTGTCATATGCATCATTCGACCAATCAGTTGAGTTGGTTCGGCATGCGGGCAAGGGGACATTGATGGCCAAGGCAGATGTGGAGGTGGCTTTTTGATTATTGCCCATCCACCCTGGCTGTCACCATTTACTGGTCTGTTTTTTCGAGGGGCTGTATTTTGTTGATCTGTGTTTGCAGATGGATTGCATCTCATCTGCGTACTTTGAGAAGTTTAGTACCTTTCTGGAGAGGGTGGTCAAGTATGAGGCAGGCACTAGATTTGTGATCCATTACCTAGATGATTTCCTTTGTGTCGGGCTGGCGGGTTTGGAGGCGTGCCGCATAGGGTTGAGAACTTTGGAATAGGTTGCGAATGTCTTCGGAATACTGCTGGCATGTGACAAGACTGTGGGGCCGACTACTTGCTTGTCCTTTCTGAGCTTAGTGATAAATTCGGTCCAGGGGTAATGTCGGTTGCTGGAGGACAAGTTGAGTCTTTGGTGAGCTTAATGAATGGGACGATTTAACCAAACATTTCCTGGTGCATAAGCTATCAAGGGGTTTCGGAAAGGCAGGTCATTGCGGGATTTGCGCAGGCCGGTATCCTTCGAAATTTTGCAAGGTTTACTCGGGGTGTTTCCAGGAGTTTGTTTTTCAGAGTATGAGGCTTTTCTGTTTTCCATCGTGTTTAGTTGGGCATTTTTCGGGGCGTTTAGGATAAGTGAGTTGGTGAGCAACAACCGCATGGGCGGAGGCAAGTTGCAATGTTCGGACGTTGAACTATGGCAGAATCGGGTGGTGCTACATCTCCACCGTTCCAAGACGGACGTATTTGGGAAGGGTGCCACGGTTACGCTTTTTGCAGTATCAGGTATGGCGGCATGCCCCATGGTATGTACAATGGCTTTCCAGGCAGATCAGGAGGTGGGAATCTGTAAGATTCAGGTCATATGTGAGGCCCAATCATTTAGTTTAAGTTTGGTTGCAATGGTTATAATTGTTCTGTGTTGGTAACGTGTTTTCCTCCGCAGGTTGGATTGCATGGGTGATTGGACACTTGTATGTTTACTGGGCACAAGGGAGAGCTGCAGTTCATCATCAAGGCATACAGCTGGGCTTTTCGCACTTGATGGTGCAGATTGAGTGGTTTGGTTTTAGGGGTTTTAGTTGGCAAAGGGTGTGCTTAGAGCTGTTCAAAAGGATTGGTGAGGGTCAAGTGCCTAACATTGTTTTGTTTCATGGCGGAGGGAAATGATTTAGGTCTGGTGTCACAGAGGGCTTTGCTGACCGGGATGAAGCAGGAGGTGAATAGGTTGAGGCAGTTGGTCCCTGACGTGGTGGTAATTTGGTCGAAGATGGCAATGGCACCACGCTAGGGACCACCACGCATTGGTGAAGAGTAGGGGGAAGTTGAATTAAATCATGGCGACTTATGTTAGGCGTTTGGGGGGGGGGGGTTGTTGTAAGGCATAGGGAGTTAGAAGCTCAGTTGGAGGGTTATTGCAGGCAAGATGGGGTGCATTTGTCAGAGGTGGTATGGATTTCCTGTTGATAGGGTTTCAGGAAGGTTTGCAAAGAGCATTGTTTTTGGTGAGGGCGTTCAGGTAGCTCAAGGTGTCGAGCTCTGAGCCATGGCAGGGGATGGATAGAGAAGTTGGGGTGTAGTTGGTTTCGCTAACAACAGTTAGGTTTGGAAAAGTATTTGTAGGTTCGAGCTAGTTGGTAGCTCCGAACCCGGTGTCTGTAGGGTGTATCTCGGTATGCCCCTACATGAAAGAAAGCTGGAAATCATGCCCTTGGTGGCAATTGTTGTTTATATGTTAATTATATGTTATGATGTGTTGTGGGTCATTGTCTGGGGGTAGTATTGCTATTGCTAATGGAGTTGGTGGGGGATATGTTATGTTAAGTTAATATGTGACAATGACCTTAAATTATTTTAACTTAGGGCAACAATGATTCAATGAGTTTTACAGAAAACTATATAATATTCCTTCAACAACGACTAGAGAGGATATCAAACAATATCTCGATAAATCAAACATACCTCAGATTACAGACTTGGATAGATTTTTTTTTGAATAAAGAAATAACTATTGAAGAAGTCAAACAGGCTATAACCAATTTAGAAAAAAATAATACTCAGAGGTCCAGATGGACTTGGTGATTTATTTTACAAATTATTTATAGAACAAATTAGCCCCCACTGAACCAATACCTTTAACCACGCGGCTAAAACAGGCTCTTTTCCAGTAGAGATGGTTAGAGCAAACATCTTACCTATTCTAAAACAAAATAAAATACCTACAGATGTCAAAAATTACCGTCCTATATCTCTTATAGACGTAGATACTAAACTTTATGCCTCAATTCTGGCTACCAGATTAAAAAAATATTACCAACAATTATACATCAAGATCAACTAGGATATGTTCCAGGAAGAAATTCTTATACTAGCATCAGAAGAAGTTTCCATTGTTGACTCTGTCGATTGACGTGGAGAAAGTATTTGACAGAGTCAACTGGAACTATCTAGAAGCTGTATTAACACACTATGGTTTTGTGGGATGGATTAAAAAAGCTATTATGGCTCTGTATATTAATCCAACAGCGCATGCAAAAGGTCCAAATATAAGCTCTCCATGGTTTCAGATGAAAAATGCAACACAACAAGGTTGTCCGCTCTCCCCAACATTATACTTGCTCTCCTTTGAACCATTAGTTGACAACATAAGAAATAATAAAGAAATCAATGGTTATAAAATATATGAT